CCCACCACCGTCGCGCCAAAAAACTACTGGCGAAACGTCTAGGACACTAACCCGATAATGATATTTTAATTTCCTAATCTTAGGTTCATATATAATGATGCCCAAGTGGAATCTTCTGTGCAGCCGGGTTAATGTTCTTACGTCGGATCGATCCACCACCACTACAGAGCATCGCACCACAACCACAAAGGCTCCAACCACAACCCCGGAGCGTCGCACCACCACCACGGAGCGCCCAACTACCACCACGGAGCGTCGCACCACAACCACGGAGCGCCCAACTACCACCACAGAGCGTCGCACTACGACTACTCCTGGTGGAGATGTGTGTGGTGACTTGACTGCGACACGTGACTTCCTTGGCAACCTCATCTTCTGCGGTCAGTCTGGCCATGCGTGCCCAGGTGGAAGCTTCTGTGGCAGCCGGGACTACTGCTGTGACCGTGCGGAGCCATCCACCACCACCACGGAGCGTCGCACCACAACCACAAGGGCACCAACCACAACCACGGAGCGTCGCACCACAACCACGGAGCGCCCAACTACCACCACAGAGCGTCGCACTACGACTACTCCTGGTGGAGATGTGTGTGGTGACTTGACTGCGACACGTGACTTCCTTGGCAACCTCATCTTCTGCGGTCAGTCTGGCCATGCGTGCCCAGGTGGAAGCTTCTGTGGCAGCCGGGACTACTGCTGTGACCGTGCGGAGCCATCCACCACCACCACGGAGCGTCGCACCACAACCACAAAGGCACCAACCACAACCACGGAGCGTCGCACCACCACCACGGAGCGCCCAACTACCACCACGGAGCGTCGCACCACAACCACGGAGCGCCCAACTACCACCACAGAGCGTCGCTCTACGAATATTCCTAGTGGAGATGTGTGTGGTGACTTGACTGCGACACGTGACTTCCTTGGCAACCTCATCTTCTGCGGTCAGTCTGGCCATGCGTGCCCAGGTGGAAGCTTCTGTGGCAGCCGGGACTACTGCTGTGACCGTGCGGAGCCATCCACCACCACCACGGAGCGTCGCACCACAACCACAAGGGCACCAACCACAACCACGGAGCGTCGCACCACCACCACGGAGCGCCCAACTACCACCACAGAGCGTCGCACTACGACTACTCCTGGTGGAGATGTGTGTGGTGACTTGACTGCGACACGTGACTTCCTTGGCAACCTCATCTTCTGCGGTCAGTCTGGCCATGCGTGCCCGAGCGACAGCTTCTGTGGCAGCCGGGACTACTGCTGTGACCGTGCGGAGCCATCCACCACGACCACTGAGCACCCAACCACCACCACTGAGCGTCGTACCACAACAACTGAGCGCCCAACCACCACCACTGAGCGTCGTACCACAACAACTGAGCGCCCAACCACCACCACTGAGCGTCGCACCACGACAACGGAGCGTCCGACGACCACCAGGCCGACCGAAACCACCACCGCACATGCCACTGCCACACGGACCGACACCACCACGGAGCCCATCACGCGCACAGAGACGCTCACAGAGACCCGAACAGAGACGAGGACGGAGACCGAGACTGGCACAACCCGTGAGCACAGCACCACAACCGCATCCGTTACGCGTACAGCCACCACGACAGGCACGTCTCGCATCCACTATGTCACCGTGACGTTCCCCGATGTGGACTTCAAGAACCTCTTCCACAGCTCCGACAGCCGCGCTGCGCTTGACTTTGCTGGCGCTGTCTGGGAGCACCTGGTGCTGGAGAAGATTGCAGGCCCGAAAGACATCCGCTCGATTGACGTGACCAAAGGCCGCCATGGCGTGGATGTTGTCATTGGCGTGGTGAGCCGAGCCGTGGCAAAGCGCGTTGAGCGTGCCATCGCCGCAGAAGACGTGTGCATTTCTGTGGAGAGCGAAGGCGTTGAGCTGTGCACTAGCGGCGATCACCGCCCCATCTCAACGACTACGACCACCGCTGACCCTGCCCCGGGCAAGCACAAGGACGGCAAGAAACCGAAGAAGGGCAAGAAGCCAAAGAACGGAGATGCGAGCGGCAGCTCTGGCGACGCGACATCCGCCTCAGGCGGCGACGACAACAGGTTCACTCTGACTTCGGGCGTCATCCTCGGCGTTGGCGCGCTCGTGGTGCTGGTTGCCATTGTCGCTGTCCTGGTTGCCCGCCGTCGTGCCAAGCGTCGTGAGTCTCTGCGGTCTGAACATTTTGCCTTCAGCGACCACCGCAGCCGCAAGTCCAGCACAGCCGCACTGTCCGCGGCGCTCCGCTCGCTCAGCGGAACAGATTTGTCCTCACCGGTGTACTCACAGCCGCACAAGAGCCACTCGTCCTCCATCACGACGGCAGAGCTCTCATCTGTCGCAGAGTACGCGGCAGCCGACCATGCGGACTACGACACGGCCAGCTATGCCGGCTACGACGAGGCAAGCAACGCTGGCTACGACGAGGCAAGCAACACTGGCTATGACGAGGCAAGCAACACTGGCTATGACTTCGCCAGCAACCCCGCATACAGCCGTGCAGGGTACGATTACGCCAACGCAGGGGCTTACAGCAGCACAACGTACGACAGGGCTGATTATGGCAGCGTCGATGACGATGATCGCAATGACGGTGGTGATGTGTTTGGCCGTCCAGAGAAGGCAGATGTGCTGTCACGCCAGCGCCGGCTGTCTCGCTCCAACATGCTTGCTCCACGCCGGAACGAGCTGTACACCAAGAACGCACCAAATATGTCGTCTGCCCCGAACAAGCAACAACAGCCCAACAAGAAGCGCATGCTCGTGCTTGACCCTGATGCTCTTGACCTTGCCGGTGACATCAGTGACGCCAAGCAGCAAATGCAACCCGGAGCCCCAGATAACGCTGCTGACTCTCCCTACATGGACATGCAGGAACTTCAGCGCCAGCTGCCACAGACGCCAGCGGAGGAGCAGGAGCTGAAGTCGATTCTGTCGCGGGCACGAGCTGCGACACCGACGTCTGCACAACTGCGCCACAGAACCCCAACGCCAGCGTCTGATGTGTAGTAGACCCTCCTGCGCCCCCTTGTGGCTGTGCGCTGATTGTTTGTTCGTCTTTCCTTCGTCTGTCCTTCCTCTCCTTCCCTTCTTGTTTCTCTATTTGCTGATATGCGCCCACCAGAAGCTTTGGTCTTCTGCTGCTGTGACTTTGCTGATCCATCGTTTGACATTGTCGCCTGTACCATGCCTTCCTGGGGAAGGCTGTGCGACACTGACTGTTTGTACTCTGGTCAACTTGCTTGTGCATCTTATTCGTTCATGATGCCAATTACATTGCTGAGTAAATCGACTACACTGCATACACCCTTGCATCAAAGTCACGCACACGCACACACGACATGTGTGTATGTCGAGGAATCGAGAGTGAAAGCGCGTGGTTACGGGACGAGGGTGGGGTCCCAGCAGAGGTGGTGGTTCTGGTCCAGCGCGTCCAGCTGCTCCAACTCGTCTTCCGTAAGGGTGGGCGGTACCTGGAAGTTAGCTTTGATGCGCGCAGGGTCGCACTGTCGCACAGTCAGTGTGTGTGTGTGTGTGTGTGTGTGTGTGTGTGTGTGTGTGTGTGTGTGTGTGTGTGTGTGTGTGTGTGTGTGTGTGTGTGTGTGTGTGTGTGTGTGTGTGTGTGCATGGAACCAGGGCATCGTGATGTCTGGTTTGAGAAAGAATGAAGAGGTGGGAGGTGGGTGGGACATACAGGCGCACACACAGGCAGGCAGGCAGGCAGGCAGACACACACACACACACACACACACAATGAGAAAGAAAGCGACAAGCGACAGCACTGCGGGCTTGTCTGCGAGTGGGTGTGCGTGAGTGTGTGTCGTTGTCGTTGGGGTGTCCAGACGCACCTCCAGCAGGATGTTGTGTTGATGGCAATAGTCACGAAGCTGCCACGGAATCAAGCAGTGTGCAATGGCCCATGCAGAACACGTGAACATGTGTGTGTGTGTGTGTGTGTGTGTGATGGAATGGGAGGGAAGAGAATCGTGGGACAAGGGACCCGGGTATGCACACGCACACACGCACACACGCACACACGCACACACGCACGCACGCACACACACACACACACGCGCGCGCGCGCGCACACACACACGCACGCACGCACGCATGTATATGCTAACCTCTCGCTGTTGGCACAAGGGATGACACTCCACCTGGTTCAGGAACGGTGGCACGTGGCAGCGCTGCAGCAGCTCCTGCAGATGCCGCACCGTGTAATTCGATACCCCGATGTGCCGCACCTTGCCCTCTCCCTGTAGCTCCTCCAACGCCCTAAGCACTTGCAAAGAACACCAATAGCCCAACCACAAGCCCAGTGCTCACGTAAATAAATAGGGGTGATGCAACAGAGCACAGGCCGCTGATACAGCAAGAGGGTGGCTGGGCAGGGCAGACGCCCGTCACTCGCATTCAGCAACACACCGCCAGCTGTGCCGCCGGGGCTCCTGGTTGCCCGGATCTTCTCGTCTCAACCCCTGACACATAAACCAAAAGAGAATGAGTTGCGTGTATGTGTGTCGGTCGGGGGGTGGTGGTTGAACGACAGTTGCTACGGTCACGACTGCTGTGTCTGTACTCAACCAAACCGCGGCCCTCCACGCACACACGCACCCGTGCATACACACGGACATTCATGCACGCATATGCAAGCAACTAAGCACACATATGCACGCGCGCACGCATTTTCAGCCCCTTGTTCACATACCGCGACGCCGGGCCAGTGAATCAAGTACAAGTCAATGTACTCGAGCTGCAACCGCTCCAAGGAGCCAAGAACAGCGGCCCTCGCTTGCTCGTAGCCCTGCTCTTTGGGTGCAAGTTTTGAGGTGATAAACACGTCCTCCCTTGTCAATCGGCCACTCCCAATCTCGTCTTGCAACACCTCTCCCACCACCTCCTCGTTTCTGTAGCACGTCGCCGTGTCTGTTTTTGCGTATGTGAGTGTGAGTGTGTGTGTGCGTGTGTGTGTGTGTGGGGGGGGGGGATAGTGAGTGAGCGAGCGAGCCATGGGTGAAGGTCATGTGTGTGCGTGGTGTATTAGCGTGTGTGGCCGCATGTACACGTGCAAGATGTGATGGACCCAACGATGCAACATCGCTCACACGGTCAAGCATGACACCAAGCGCACACATGTGACAGAGCACACACAAGTGCACACGCATACACGCACTCAAACAAACGGACCAATGTGCCTGTACCCGACAGCAAGTGCAGTGTGGAGGGCTTGGCGAAGCTCATCCCCACGCAACTTGAACGTCCCAACTGCGGGCGTTTGGGAAGGGGGAGTTGAAAGCGTGAGGCAGTGACGCGAGGCAGTGACGCGAGGCAATGGGGAGCATGAGCACGCTGTCACGTGAGTGCCAATCGACAGATACTGGGCGTGTCAACATGGTTCACAAAATACACACACACACACACTCACTCACACACACACACTCACACACACACACTCACACTCACTCACACACGCACACACACTCACACTCACTCACACACACTCACACTCACTCACACACACACACACACACACACACACACACACACACACACACACACACACACACTCACACTCACACACACACACACTCGCTCACTCACTCACTCACTCACACACATGCGTACATGCGAGCGGCGGTGGTGCTGCTGTCATCCTTGTTGACATGCTTGTTCAGTGGGCTGTCCTATAAATATGACCTGCGCATATTAGTATTTGGCTTGCCATGCCATCGTGTTTTAGTGGTGCAGAAGTGTGCTCACTTGATGCGTATTCCGCCTGCATGAATGACGGAAACGGCAAAAACAACACGGCAATCCAACGCTTGGCCCAGTATATACACGCGGGCTTTGTGATCAACGGATTCCACACCAAGCACCAACAGAGTTGTCACCGTATACAATGTACAGCTCGTTACCATGGAGTGTGGCTGCGCCCTGTCCTACATCGACTCCATTGTAACTCTCGCACCGCCCGCTACCAAAGGCGTCACCAACAGCCAGGGATGAGTGCAGACTGTGGTGTCGGAAGGTGCAACTGATGTGAAGACGGGAGGTGGATGATATTTGTAAGCAGACAGGGCTTGTCAGTCAACAGTGGGGTTCTGCATGGTACTTTTGATGCTTACACGCGCTGCTGTCCAGCAGGATGAACGGTTGCCTTGCGGTAAAGCGTGTGAAGAGTGCCAGCGTGTCAACTTGCTTCTGCCTAAGCGCGGCGATGAACAGCACTTGTTCCGTCAGAGAGGACGCGCAAGCAGTACGCGCGGTATCTATTTCATCGAGGGAGCTGCGCTTTGCTATCTTCCGAGTAGTTACTTCAGGAGGAGATCGCCAACCTCGACCGTCACAACGTCTTCGGGCCCGTCGTCGCCGACGCGAAGGACGCCATACCCCTCACAGTGGTCACGACTGTCAATGTTGACAGGCAAGTCCTGTCTGCTGAGTCATCATTGACCTCCCTCCTTCAGGACACCACAAATTTGCATTCACCTCTCTTGTGTTCTGGAATGTTCACGTGACTTCCCTCCAACCTGTTGCACGTGCAGTGTTTAGCTTGTGTGGTTGCTCGATGTTACATGCTCTTGCATAACACACCACATAACCACACAACTCTCAACAAACACTGCCACGTCACCACTTTGCGTTGTCGACAACTCTTGTCTTCTGCTCTGTTTCTTTCTGTTGGAGTGTTCATTCATCCTACATCCTTGTTTGCTTCACAACTCAAGTAAACACACACAACTTCCTCTTGCCAAGACAATCTCCCACACAACACACAGCACACACAGCACACACAGCACACACACAAGTCTCCAACAACAGCACCACCACCATGAAC